CCATCCTTGCCCCTCTCTCCAGGGGACCTGCCTGTTGCCTGGGTCTGCCCAGGGCTCTCTTCTCCCGGTCTCCCTTAGTTACCGTCCCTGCACCTCACAGGCCTACTCTGGCTGTGTACCACACTGTGCTGGCTGCTTCCTCTTACATTTTCTCATTCTGTCTTTAGTCCCCTCTGAACACCTCTGTGAAGTATGATCTAAGCTGCGAAGCAGGTCCTCAGATTATTTCCATTTTACTTAAGAGAAAACTGAGACTCAGAGAGGTGCAGTCACTTGTCCAAGGACACACAGCAGGAAGTCCAGGAGCCTCCAGTACCATGGTCTTTCTTCTACACCACGTTGCCGCATGTGAGATTCTGGGAGGGACAACAAATACACGTCTCTCGTTGACCCTTTTACTCCCCAGAGCCCCACAGGAGCCTGCTTCAGGGAGACACATGCTTAGACGAGGACTCCTCAGGAGGCCTCTACTCCCCTCTTTGTGAAGAGGCTGGGTTCCCTGCTGTACTCAGTGGCTCTGCTCAGCTCAGCCTAGCCTGTGATCATTTGAATCCCCAGAGCTGCTGCCCACCGGTCACCCTGACCCAGGGTGGTACCAAGACCCCAGGACTAGCCATCAGAAGGAAGTTGTGCCAGGTACTCACTTGCTCACCGCAGAGGGTTCTAAATCTGCAATTCAGGTAACCAGGAAACAAGTTACAGGAGCTACCACCCCACCAGTTGCTAAAACCAAGTGCTTACCAAATCCAGGTGCTGGGCTGGTTTGGACTCTGCCCACCATCAGCAAAAACACATTAACCAGGAGGCTTAGAGGATGGGCATTCTGGTTAACTGGAGTCACTGGATATCTTAACGCTAACTTGCAAAGTCTCCCATAATGCCTGACTTTAACAGCAAAGAATTAGACCAAAATATCCAGAAATAGAGGACTTGAACATGTAGGCCATGGGTCGTTTATTTAATGGAACACTATGAAGTCATTCCAAACATTACAGAACATTTAATGACTGGAGAAATGTTACAAGATATTAAATGAAAGGTTTCAGAACAGTACGACAGAATAAGCCCGTATTTGTACAGGAAAAATAAAATATTTTTATATATAGATAAAATAGGAGAAAGATGAGAAGACTCTGAAGTGTTAACCTATGTTCTGCATATTTGGGTGTTGATATAACAGATTAATCTTTTTTTATTAAGGTATCATTGATATACACTCATGAAAGTTTCACAAGAAAAACAATGTGGTTACAATCACCCATACTATCGAGTCCACCCCATACCCCATTGCAGTCACTGTCCATCAGTGTAGTAAGATGCCAGAGAGTCACTATTTGTCTTCTCTGCGCTACACATGACAGATGAACTTTTAAATGTAGATTTTCTTTCTCTCCTTGGAAAGATGGTACATTTACATGGTTCGAACAGTATAGACAGTTATAAATTAAAAGTAAGTGTCTCTCCCATTCCTATCTCCTAGTCACCTAGTCTCATCCTACAGGCAACCTGTGGGGTGCTATGTCCTGTGTATCTTTCCAGAGATATTTGATGTACAAAAATTATCTATTTTCTCCTCTTTTTTTATGCAAAAGAAAGATTATATCTATACCTTATGCTGTACCTTGCTGCCTGCCCTTGATATACCTTAGTGGTCATTTCTTATCAATATATAAAGAACTTTTTCACTCTTTCTTCTCCCCCAGGGACCTAGTATCTCACCATGTGGATGAACCAAATTTGTACAACCCATCCCTTACTGATGGGCACTGTGATGGATAGACTGTAGTGAGCTGAATTGTGTCCCCCCAAAATATATGTTTCAAGTCCTAGCCCCCAATACCTGTGAATGTGACCTTGGAAATAGGGCCTGTGCAGATGTAATTAATTAAGGACTTTGAGAAGAAATCATCCTGGATTTAAGATCCACCAGTGCAATCCAATCCTTCCAAGACGAGGTGAGGACACATGTAGAGAACACCAGGAGAAGGCCATGTGAAGACAGGCAGAGACTGGAGCTCTGTTCCCACAAGCCAGGGATGCATGGGGCCAGCAGAAGCTGGAACAGGCAAGGATTCTTGCCTAGACCTTGTAGAAGGATCATGGCCCTGCTGACATCGATTTCCGACTTTTAGCCTCCAGAACTGGGAGGGAAGAAATTCTGCTGTTTTAGGCTCCCCAGGTTGTGGCAATTCAGTACAGTAGCCACAGGACGCTAATATGTAAGTAGACTTCTAAGAGAGTCCTGGACGTTCCTGGCCTCCTGGTTGGTGTTCACACCCTAGTGTAATCCCTCCCCATGAGTACTTAACAGAATCTAGCAAATGTGATGGGATGTCACTGCTGAGATTAAGACTGTGATAGCTGTCTTGCATGCTCATTTTGATGAAGCAAACTGCCAAGTCATGAACTCTGGAGAAGGTCACGTGGCAAGAGATGAGTGACCTTTGTGCAACAGCCAACAAGGAACTGAATCCTGCCCATACTGAGAGTGGGCTTGGAAATGGATCCTTCCCATTGAGCCTCAAGATGACACTGCCGCCCGTTGAAAGACACGGAGACAAGAGGACCCAGCTAAGCTGCACCGGATTCCCCACCCACCCAAACTGTGAGACAAATAAGTGTGTGTGGTTTTAAGCTGCTAGGCTGTGGGATGACAGTTACACAGCAATAACTAACACAGGCATGCAGGCTATTTCCAATCTTTTGCTATGACAATATCACAGATGATTGTTACCGTTCTTTGTGTTTCTGTGTTCATATTTGTATTACATCTGTAGTCAGGAAGAAAACATTAAAATATTTTTTCACCTTCAAGCTATGGTGTGGAAAAAAATGGTCTGTTCCCTACTCCACTCCACTTTGCCACAGAGCATGGCATCTTCCTGCCGCTCCCTGCTCAGAGAAATCAACACCTATTGAGTGCCTACTATGTACCCATGATGCTTTTGGGGCTTCCAGTCACCTATGGAGTAAAGCCCCACCCCTTGGCCTGTCATTCAACCTGCTGTATCATGGCTTTCTTATCAGCGTGGAGGGAATGGGAACTTTCATGCACTGACTAGGTCTTATGTGCCAGCCCTGCAGGCAGACTGTTCAGATACATTGGCCTGATTAAAAGCATGGATGCCAGACCCAGACTGCATGGGTTCCAAACCCAGCTCTGCCATTTAGGAACTATGTAACTGGGCAAATTACATAATCTCACTGTGCTTCAGTCTCATTGTTCATTGAACAGGGATGAGTACCTTCCTCATAGGGCTGTTCTGATAAGGAAATTAATTTTATGTTGAGTGCCAGAGGACAGTGTCTAGCACAGAATGAGGCTTACATAAGCAATAGCTACTATCAATTTAAAGGGGAAAGTAAGGCTCAGATGAGTTCAGTGACCTCCCAGGCCATACATACAGCCATTAAGTCTGCCCAGGTTTCACACTGACTCCCACCTCTTGTATTAGTTACCTATTGCTACCTAACCATATTACCACAAACTTTGCATCTTAAGACAACACATTTATCACCTCACAGTTTCTATGGGTCGGGAGTCTGGGCACAGTTGTAGTCAAGGTGTGGGCGGGGGCTGGGCTCATCTGAAGGGTCAATTCCAAACTCCCGTGGTTTTGGCCGCACTGTTTCTTGTAGACGGCTGGGCTAGGATTTTTGTCTTCTCCCTGGCTGGTGGCCGGAGGCCCTGCCAAGCTGCCTCTCTGACTTGGGACGGCACACACAACATGGCAGCTTGCTTCTTTAAAGCCAGTGAGCATCTCTCAGCAAGACAGATGTAATGTTACGTAGTCATGCAAGCAACATCTTGTCAGCTTTGCCTTATTCTTTTGCTTAAGTCACAGGTCTAGCCTACATTTAGAGGGGATCACACGAGTGTGCACACAAGGAGGTGGGGTCTGGGGGTCACCTCGGGGTTCGTTGCTGTATCCAGATCCTCCCACTGCACAGAAAATGCTCAGGTCTCACACCCCCCACTTCCTGCCACTCATCTAGCTCAACCCCACCCCCACCCCCAGCAATGGGGATGCTCCAGAGGCTAAGGGAAGAGATGCCTGGTTTGGTCCTGGGGGTTTCCCTCGGGATCCCTGGTCCTGGGGCAGTTTCGTTTCAGCTGATTTCAGTTGGTGATGGAGGGCAGCAAACTTGTTCCCTGCCCTCACAGACCCCTCAGTGGCTGTTTCCTCACCAGCTACCTCATGGTCACCATGATGAGTAAGGGTCTGGGCATGTTACCTTTTAATTAAAAGATAATTAAATCCAAACTATAGGATGGGCAGCTGCTAGTTCTGTATATGCCCCGCTTGAGCGACACCTGGTTAAGGAGCCTGTGGTCATAAATCTAACCAGCGGACAGCCTAGACCCAAAGCTCGTTTGCATCCAGAACTCCAGTGCTCACCTTTGATGCTTACACTTCGAATTAAGGGTCTCCTCTAAGTCTAAGCTTCCTCATTTCCGGCCTCCAGGCATTCATAAGATGGGAAGCAACAGGAAAAAAATGTTTACTACTCCTGGGACTCCTTTGCTCTAATTTCCTTATTCTTATTCAAGGGCACAAGGTCCCTCAATTCTAATTTCCTTTGTCCTGCCTTACACTTACTAGCCAGGGACTATTTTTCCAAAACATACAAGAAAAACTGCTACCTTTCCTACAGAACTCAGGTATGAAAAGTGCCATAGCCTTTATTTAATTTTTGGCCTCTATGTACCTGTACACTTTCACTATTTAGGGGGATGCTTCCACCAGGAGGTCTTGGTGGGGGGCCCAGAATGCCCCAGAATGGCAGAAAGACTATACTCTTCTAGATGCACAGACGTTACTGGTTACCTTAGGGCAGGAAAACCAACTTTTCTTATTCTGGCCAATCTGACAGCCTTGAAATCTGGACACATGATGAGTGGTGAGAGGGGGCCGCGAGTCAAGCCTTGGCATCCTGGAGGGGGGTTCAGCAGCCATGCTACCAAAAACATGTTCATCTTTGACATATGCAGACAAGAGTAAAAACATTCATTTTTTATTTGAGAAATCTGGTCCCACAAAAAGGCCAACACTTTTTTCGGTTCGTCTTGACTCTTCAGAAAGGCAATCTTTGCATTAAGAGGTAAAGTATGTCAATAAAAGCAATTTTAGAGATGTTCAGATAAAATAACTTCTTATAAACCAGTAAACGGGCAACCCTAGACTTCCAGTTCACTCACAACTCCTTCTGTCATGTACAGACCCTGAAGGAAAAAAGAAAGAAAAAGGTTGTCTGCTGACAAGGCACTTCAGAAAACACCACAGACAAAACCCAAGTCCACCAGGAACTGTGCCGTGACCTGTGAACCCAGAGAGCTGCCAGTGGACAGGAAGGCTGACCCCACCCCCCAACCTCCGCAAGAATGGTTTCCACTCTCCGGCTTGAACACTGTTTTACCTGGCTTCCAGCACCTGCCTCAGCCCTCCACTGCCTACATGGCCTGGAAGACATGGGACCCAGGCCACTTGGCGGAGATGACCACTGCTTCCTAAAGCTCAGAGCAGCTCCTGCGGCTGACAATGAGGAATGCTTTTAGAGGCCCCTGCTGGGGCATACTTCAGGAGCAGTCCCTTTTGCAAAGAAAAGGAATTAGTGCAGACCAGCACATTAGCAAAGCAAATATTAAAACGATTTTTAAAGCTAGTTAATACTCCCGATTTCCCTCCTGATTGTTCAAGCTGCCACTTATAAACCTGCTAGCAATCAGGAAGGAATCCCTCCTCTGAAGGCACCTGGACTGAAATGGCTACAGCTGATGGGACTGCAGAAAGCCCCACTTCAGGCCTGTGATCCTCTGACACCTGTAACCCCTGAGAAGGGCTGAGCTGAATCCAGACGGCACACTCAACCCCTTCTTTGGCTTTGGGGCACTGTGTTTAATAAGGGTCTTTGTGAGCAAAGTAGTCTCAGAGCTGTTCTCATGTCAAGAGGACAGACAGGGACAGGGATCCTGGCGTATCTCTTCTCCTGTGTCTGGTTGCATACTGAATCCCAGAAAATTGTGTGACACAGTGCCGACTTGCTGCCTGACATGCCAGTCTGTCAAGAGGGTCAGGCAAGGAGGAGAGGAGAGTCATGCTCCAAACAGAGGCTGGCCAGGGAGTGCTTCATCCTCCTTCCTTTGGCCCAGATGAGGCAGCTCCTTTCCAGAAGTGCTATGAGGAAAGCGTTGCGCTCAGGTCAAAACTGGACCCAGCCTGTGCCTGGCTGAGTCTGGCTAGAAGGCGACCTATAAAAGACAGGAAGGTACAGGAGAGTTCAGATGTCTGAAAATACCAACCAGATAAAATATGGCTTCTCTCTGGGCAAAAAGAGCTCCAAGAAGTCAGTCCCTGAATGTTCTAGAGCAGGGGTCAGCAAACTACAGTCCAGGGACTAAATCTAGTTCTTTGCCTGTTTTTGCAAATCAAGTTTATTTGGCACATAGCCATGATAACCATGCCCACTCATTTACATACTGCCTGTGGCTGCTTCTAAGTTACAAGTGCAGAGCTGAGCAGCTGGAACAGAGACCATATGGCCTACAAAGCCTGAACTATTTGCTATCTGGTCCTTTACAGAAGATGTGTGTTGACTCCCATCCTATAGCCTGTCCATATGAACAACGGTGCAATTGGTATTTAGCATCTTTTCATCCTGACCCCAAGTAAAGGCTTAAAATTCTATGGAGGCAGACAAGGCAAGAGACCTTGATTTCGGAGGGCCCATGAGGACAGGCCAAGGCTAGAATCCAGGTTAACTCTCAGCCCGTTGTTCTGGGGTCGCTGGGGGAGGAGGAGGAAGAAGAGACAGATACTGAGACAAGCCAAAGTACTTGGTGAGGTGGCTTAAAGACCAGAAAGAGTACAAGGTGGCCCCAGGCCACCCAGCAGCGGCAAGCAGCAAAAAGCCTTCATGGGGAGAAGCATGACACCCACGGTGGACACTATGGGGCTCTGCCCTCTGGTCGGCCTGATAATGTCCATATCAGACCTACTGCTCCAAGTGTCAAGAGGAAGGCATTTGGAGCAATCCTATGTTTTTACAGACATTTCCCTGGCCCCAGTCCCACCACAGAGAATGTGACCCTGCTCACCCTGTGGATTTGGTAAAGTCTCCCCAGATGTCAGTGGCAGCAGTGGCGACTGGCTTCGGCTGCGGCCAGGACACAGTGGCACCTCCTACTGATGTTCCCAGGTCCGATGGGTAGAGAAAGAAGATAAGGAGACAGAGGAGTCAGAGTTCTCTCTTTTCTGGTTGTCTCAGTGACCCTGAAATCAGTTTCATGATTCCAGGAGGCTGAGAAAAAAAGAGATGTGTTTTGGGGCAACAAAAAATAATGAGCTGCCACAATTCCACCATCTTCTCGGGAGGCCTGAGAGCTCCTGAAGGAAAATCAGAAAGCCACTGGGGTCAGGGGCAGAGGGTGCCAGTGAGGGTGAGTCCCACGGCATCTGCCATATGTGAAGCTGACCTTGTTTCCAACTGTTTACGTTGGAAATCTGTTTAAAATGTACTATACCCTGCCCTGGCTTCTTGAATGCAGAATGCACACCAAAAATGCAAGCAAGGTCATTCATATAAAGCCCTCGGTCCTGTGTCTGGATCAACCAGCTGAGAAAATTATGTGCCAGGCATGCGCCAAGGCCTGGGAGCCAGACTGCACAGGGGCTGGGGAGAACCTTCTAGAAAGGTAACACAGAGGCCGGTATCTGTGTGCGTCTCTTCCCTGGGGTGGGTGGCACAATGGGGCTGCTGTGCCTGCTTCTGCCCTTTCTGACACCTCCCCCAGTGCTCCTAACTGTCGCTTCTGAAGGTCCTGTGCCTGACACCCTCGGCCTCCCCCACAGATCTGCTATTTCTAATCTGCTTTAGGCTGGGAGACCAGATAGAACCAGAGTCCTCCACATTTAGAATCACAGCTCACCAGGTTCTTAACATACATTATCTCATTTGAACCTTCCCACGGCCCCCAAGCAAGATAGGCCAGAACCAGGCCAGGACTTTATGCAGGTCACTTCAGTCTCTGTCTCTAGAATGGCAACCACAACGACTACTTCACAGGGCTGGTCCGAGGATTAACTCTGTTAATACACACAGAATACTGAGAGCAGGCCCAGCACACGGTGACAGTTAACAATGACCATATTAATAAAACGAGAGCTAACAAATGGGAGCACTTAAAATGTTCTAAGTATCGTTCATAAGGGCTACACACGAATTAGCTCATTTGATCTGACCCTCACAAGAAACCTAAATTGTAGGTATCATTAATAACCCCACCCTACAGAGAAGAAAACTGAGCCACAGAGAACTAGGCAATTTCCCAAATAGCACACAACTGGCAAGCCAGAACTTAAACTCAGCTGTCTGGTTCTGGAGCATACAGTAGGTGCTCAGTAAATGTTAGCTATTCCTGGCTCATCAGCTGACATCCTTTTTTCGCAGACATGCTCACTGCCTGCCTCACACGTTAGAACATAAACCCGGGAGCTGGGACTTGGTGCTGTACTTGCAGTTCCCCCAGGGCCTAAAAACTGCCTGGCTCATAGCAGGTTATCCCTATTAGCTGTTAAAAATGCACAGGCACCCGAGGGAAGGCCTAAGGCAGTGGCTTTCAGACCTTAGCAAGCAAACAAATAAGGTTAAGAGGCAGATTCTTGCCATGTCCCTGGCAATGCCAAGGAGGTGGTCCTACAGCCTCTGAGAAAGAATGCTTAAAGAATAATTCCTGGGGCCAGGCAGGGGCTGACTGCCACGCTTACCAACTTCTTGGGCCAGGGTATTCCAGACAGGGCTGAGGTTTGAGGCTGACCTCCAGAAAGGTCAAAAGGGAAAGCAGGCTTCCTGCCTGGATACTGTCCCCAACAACGTAGTGAGATTTGTGTGGATAAAGGGGCAAGTGAGAAACCCCAGCCTTGGAAGACCAGGAGCATCAAGTTCAGCCACAGGCAGGGTGGGGCGGTTGAGGGAATGGGCTGGCATCCCACCACTGTCAGAGGCTGGCACAAACTTCTGGAAACCCAGGGTCTCCAAAAGGCATTCCTTCCACTCTGAAACAAGCACCAGCACAGTCTGCTGGGGGAGTGGCCTCGCAGCTTCCCAGCACCTCAATGGCCTTCCTGAGGACCTTGGTCCAAACTAAATCTCCAAGTTTATTTCCCACTATTCACCTTGGCATACTTATGCTGCATCCAGTTCCCTAAATACACCAGGTATTTAAGAAGTCTGAATCTTATTCACACTCCTCTGTCTAGAATGCCAAGCATCCTCCACCCCAATATCCTTTCTTAAGGCCCAGCTCAATGCCACCTCTTCCATGAAGTCTCCCCAGATCACGCTGGCTGGTAGTGACTCTGGTCCCACACATTTGGTCTGCGTGCCTGTGACTCCTCTCTCCTACTAGATACGAGCTCCCTGTGAGCAGAGACTGTCTCCCTCACACACTTACCACGTCCTCACTCACCACCCACGGAGCAGCCTCTGAGCATGAGCTGGTAATTTCACAGCAACAGATGAGTTATAGTCCTTGTCCACCGGAGGGGACAGACACCCTGAAGGGTAAGTGGCGGGTATCCGGGGAACAGAGGAACCCCTTAACCAGCATGGGCAGGATCAACTTTGTGAGGCTCACCTTCCGGTTTGTCACATACAGATATTAAAGTTTCCTGGTCAGTGTGAGCAAAGGAGAGAAAGCCATGGGGCCCCAGCTGCCAGGGGGAAGAGGAACCAATCATAGGTGCAGGAGGTTAGGCAGCAAGTACAGTCTCCCTGTCTCCAAGCACTGACCTGAACCAGGAGCAACTGGTGGCTGAACGAGAGATCCCCCCACAGACAACTGCTCCCCCGGGGTAGGGATCAGGGTGGAGGTCTTCCCCCCAGGGGGAGGCGGAAGCAGGCTCAACCCTCCTGTGCTGGCGGGCCGGGCTCTAGGGGTCCCGGATGCTCCTTCCTTCTTCTTCATGTTCTAAAGAGAAAGAGGAATGCCAACTAGTCAGTTCTGCTGGAGTCCCACAGCTATCAAAACCCCACGAGGAGGGCCAGGTGACCTCCAGGCCCCAAATGTCTGTACAGTCAAAACATGGTTGAGCCATAGAGCACTTTCACTGGTACGAGCTGTATTCAATGCCATCGCAATTCTAAAGTCATCATAAATGTTTACTTAATAAAGCACCTGAATTCATTAATCATCAGGGAAATGCAAATTAAAACTACAACAACACACCTTGACACCCCCACTAGAATGGCTAAAACACAGAACATCAAGTACTGACAAGGTTATGGAGCAACCAGAACGCTCATGCTGCTTCAAGCGAGCACTGGGAAAACTACTTGGAAAAACTGTTTAAAACTGAACATATAAACCGATGGCCCTACAATTGCCCTCCTAGATGGAGACCCAACCAAAATGCACACGTACATGTATCAGAAGACATGCTTTGCAATACTCGCTGCAGCCCTGTGTGCAATGGCCTCAAGCCGGGAACCACCCAAATGCCCACTGTCAGTTGGACAGGTAAATGCTGGGCTCCCTTCTCATCCGGGAACGTGCCACGATGACAGGGAACAAACTGCACACAGCAAAGTGGGTGCCTCACAAAACCACACTGCGCAAAGGGAAGGAGTCTTTCACAAAGGAGCAGTGCACAATCCAGTTAACAAAAGTTAAAAACAAAGTTTAAGGTATTAAAGTGGGGCGGTGGTTACTCTATCGTGAGGAAAGAAGCAGGAGAGGGGCTTCCAGAGGCTGATAACCTTCTGCTTCTGCTTCTGGGGGGCAAATTTATGTGCTAAATTTGGTTTTTTAAAATTCAGAGTCCTGCATTTATAGTGTGTGTGCTTTTCTGTAAGCATATCATACTTCAGTAAACACTTAAAAATAAAACAAAAACCTGAACATTAAGGTGAGCCAGAAACCAGCACGAGTTAAGATGAAGATGATGTGGCTCCCACTTCGCAAGGAAAGCAGCAGCTTAATCCAGTGCTGAGACCACAACCCTGCCATCAAAAGCTCTGCGCCCGCAGTGAGTCCAGCTGTGCTGGTTATTTCCAACTCTATCACCCCAGGCAACTCCCTTAACCCCTCTAACCCTCAATTTCTTCCTATCCTAGAAAAGGGGAGAATTTTTACTTCATTTGAGAAGTGCCTAAAAAAATACTACCTGGCACATAGATGATGCTCATTAAATGTTAGTTTCCTCCCAGCAAGAAAAGGAATCACATCCCAACCAGTCCACTGGATGTGACCTGTGTTTTTCTTAAGAGTCATTTAGCCAACTTCAAAGGTCCCAAATCATCACCAGCACGAAGCAGAAAAGAGGAGAAAGAGATGGTAAGTAAAGAGGGAGAGCGTTATTTTAGGGTTACAAAGTTTCTTTCAAAAACAAATCCATTAGTCCTTGGTTTCCCCAAATCATTTCAACTCCACCCCTACCACAAGGTAAGGGCCAAGACTTGACAACACAGCCCAGGCCAACCTCCAATTCTCACGAGGAGCTAACAGGGGTAAGGCAGATGTGGGACAGCTCAGGACAAAGAAACGGGAGGTCAGGACACCACCACCGGCAGGAGCCGCCCATGATTCCCAGTGCCGACCCGAGGCCTTCCCACCCAGAGCTCTCCCGCAAGGCACAAGGCCAAGGTGCTGCCTGGGACGGACACACTGACCCCCTTCCTCCCCAGTCTACAGCCAGGACAGAAGCACCAGCTCTGGCAGAAAAGGGACTGACGTTCCTTCTCAACTCAGAGGCTTAGCACATGCTATTCCCTCTGCTTGAACCAACCTCTGACCCTTCTTCCCTTCCTTCCCAGTCACTTCCTCAGAAAACCCCCTTTGGTTCCCCTATTCTGGGCTGCATGCCCCTCAGACAAGGGGCACCGAGGACATCCCCAGGTCACAGAACCTCTCCTGCCATGCTGCCCTGACATCTGGACTCGCCCATCTTGGCTTAACTCTTGAGCTCCATGACAGCACGGCCCTCTCACACACCCCAGCGCAGCACCTGGCACAAGGCACCTGCTCAGTAAACATCTCCGGGCTGATGGAACTAGTAAGAAAAGAGTGACAGGCTCTGGAGCAGGCTGGGGAGGTGGCCAACACATAAGTGGGACAGGACTCACCGCAATGCTGAGCTTGATGGTCTGGCCCTCTTTGAAGCCTAAGTCCAATTTAGGGCCCTGGTCGGGGTTCTGGGCTTGTTTTGCAAATTCACACTGCTGTTTCACCCATCTGTGGAGAGAACAGAAGAAAAGGTGAGGAGACCAGTTGCCCTGCGTCCACTCACTCCACCCACCTGCCATCAGGCCAGGCTGAGGCTTTTATGTGGCACGGTGGTACAAGGCTTGGGATTCAGGCCTGACTTTAAAGCCTGACTCGGACGTGTAAGCAGCTGCATGAACATCAGTTTCCTCTTTAGCAAAATGGGATGACAATTCCGCACGTCTTAAAGACTGCTATGAAAACTCAATGAGATCGTGTATGCGGAGGGTCCTAGCATTGGTCTTTGGGAAATCTAAGAGGCCAGCCCTCTCCTCCCCTGTACTTGGTATGGGAACTAAGGCAATGTCTCCACCCCACCTGCCCCGAGGACTCATAAGGCAGACGGTGAGACAAGACAGATGCCAAGGAAGTAGAGAGCAACACACAGGTCCCCACCCTCCGGGTAACAGCAGTCCAGCAGCCACCTAGGGCAGCGGTACCAGGACAGAAGAACCAGAAGTGCCACGTGAGCAGCCACACAGGCCCCACCTGTGCCCGCAGCCAGAGTGGAGGCCCACACATGGCAGGGGGGCAGTCTTTCCTACCCTCTGAGCTTTAGAAAGGACCACCAGGGCATCTGGCGGGTGGCCTGGGAGTCTAAGCACCACTTCTTACGTCATGGAGGAGCAGGCTCAGAAAAGCCAGAGGAGCGTGACAAGGCCCCTGGATGCCCAGGGGTCTGGTAAGGGAAGCGACAAAGGCTGGGCCAGCTGAGTGGGGTGGCAGAGATGGGCCTTGGGAAGAGGAGTTGACTTCAAAGCAGAGATCAGGACTGACAGACTACAGAGCGGGGGGCCTGCCCCAGGGAGAAGTGAGTTTTCTGGGGGTTCTGCTAGCAGACAAATCACGCACAACCACCTGGGCATCCTAACCTGGGAAATCATTCTGTCCAGGGGAGAAGGGAGGAGCGTGGGCGCGTGTCCTGGAACCACTCACTTGAAATGGTCCTGCAGTGCGACATTGAAGTCAAACGCATCACCTCGGTCCCCGAAGCCAATTCCAATAAACGCCCGTCGCCCTGGGGGACAGCACACGATCAATCCCACTTTCCAGAGGCAGAGGACACCTTCCTCATGAGGAGGGAGCACCAAGACCCACTCATACCGTTTCCATCCTCGATGCGGATAACGAAGTACCTGCTGGAGTCGGTCACACTCTCCACTGCTGTGCCGGGAAACTGATCCACCGGGGCCTGCGCAAAGAGCTCCCCTGAAAGCACAAGTTAGGGCGAGCCTTGAGCCCCCTACCAGCCTGTTTCTGTCATACCACTGGGGCCATCTTCCTGTGAGACAGTCAGGCAATGTAGTATGTGGAGGGTCCTAGCACTGGTCTTGGGGAAATCTAAGCAGCCAGCCCTCTCCTCCCCTGTACTTGGCATGGGAACTAAGGCAATGTCTCCACCCCACTGTGGGACTCAAAATCCATTCCGGCCGAAGGGGAGACACAGGAATATAACTCAGGAAAGGTTTAAGTCAGCGGTGGCTTAGGGGTCAGATCCAGCCCATGGTTTGTTTGGTTTTTTTGGAAGCAGAGTAAGTTTTATTTAAAGTTACTTAGAAAACTGCAGGTGACTTCAGAGAGAGAGGAGCGCCCTAAAAGGTTGGAGAGAAAGAGTTTAAGATTTAAAGGTTATACAATTAGAAAGTGTGGGTGACCCCAGAGAGAGGAGCTCCCTGAAAGGTGGGATAAAGTTAAGTTACGCACTTAGGAAGTGTGGGTGACCTCAGAGAGAGGAGCGCCCAGCCCACGGTTTTTAACATTCCTCATTTAATTGTCAAGCATTTCAAAGTTAGGTTACAAGTAAAATAATCCAGATACCTGGCTTCTCTTACTGTGCCTCCATTCCCACATGAGAATGATACGCTGCAGCGTATCTGCCTCACCCACTCACATTACGTTCCTGCACAGAGGACTCTGGAAAAGGCAAGCCCTGGTCCAGGTATATTACACCTTTAGGAAAGGCCTGTTACGTGAGGCAAGACTACAGAGTTGCTGGTGAACCCAGAGGAAAAAAGTAAGTTTTTATACCATAGAAGACTCTGAAGGAAATGGACTTAATCTGTGACACGGGACAAAAGGGTGATTGGTTTTTAAAGCAGCTCTTGTGAAATGCATCCCCTTGTCAACTACGGCTCTCCAAGACACAGTGTAACACCTGTTACATTTATGATGGCATCATTTTTGTACATGTTGATCTCTGCTGGTGCTTTAAGTATTTAACCAAATATTTTTTACTAAGCCCTGTGGTTCAAAGGTGACTGCAATCCAGGGTGAACTGAAGCAACATCGGTGGCCCAGAGCCCACAGCTTCTTGTTAATTTCTCTGCCCCTAGTTTGATACCCCCTAGTTTGATGCCCCAGTTGACCTAGGGCTCACCTGGATGCCTCCATCTAGATCAGTGGTTCTCCACCAGCATGATATATTGTTCCCTATTCCCCAAGGGACATCTGGCAATGTCTGGAGACATTTTTGGTAGTCACAACTTGGGGGGTGCTACTGGCATCTAGTAGGTATAGGCCAGGCATGTCATTAACTATCTTAAATTTGACCTGACAGCCAATGAAACTCACCAGTGCTGAGGATGAGAAACCCTGGCCTAGAGTGAATGGAAATGAGACAAATGATCCAGTGGGCATGACCCTGGGCCAAGAGCATTTTAGGGTGGGTCCTGCAGGCAAGGCTCAGCCCTGAGCAGACTGGGACACTAGGCGGTCCAGTCACCTTAAAGTCAGTTCCCAAGGCCCCCAGAGAACAGTAGCATTTTCCTGTGATACCACTTGGGAATCTCATGGTAGAGTTCTCTAGCTTGGCCACAGCGGCTATCTCTTCACACTCCCCCACAGCGAATAACCCAGCCAACCCCATGCTCCAGAATAAATCAGTGCTTTGGGTGACCTTGCAGTTCACAAATCAACTGGATAAATATGTGTTCATTTCATGTTTCCAACAACCTTGTGAAGTAGGAACTAATATGATTCCCATTTCAAAATAGCGGAGGCCAAGTCACCACAGGCCATTTGGCTCACCCAAGGGCCCACAGCTCAGACACAACTGACACAGTTCTGAGAAGAGGCAGCCCCCTGCCTAACAATCTTTGCACTCTGTTCTGCCCCATAACAGAAATCTCTATGTTAGAAAGAATAACTGACTGAATGCTGTGGCACCTAGCTGAGCAGGCATTGTGCTCCATCCCTGCTCTGGGGCTGAGGCTATTCCAGGCGCACTGCCCTGCACAGTTCACCCAGAGGCACTGGCGGTGCAGGACTTCCGGACACACTTCCCCAACGATGACACCTGCCAGCTGACCCCAACACAGCCCAGCTTGGCTTGTCTGCTCACCACAGAAGGAGCTGAGTAGGACAGTTTCCAGCTCGATTTCAGTTAGCGGGCGTGGCCAGTCTGGGGTGTTACCATTTAGTTGATAAACAGAATTCTTCAGCAAGAACCAGAGCTCAGCAGCGGAGGGCTATGCATCTTCACCAGCTTGTCTTCAAGGCAAGCTCGGGGGCTTCCTACCTGGTGCCAACCTGCGGGGCTCCTCTTCTTGGGCTCCAAAATCAGTATTTCCTTAAAGACCTCCGCCCAAAACACAGGTGCTTGATAGGCAATACTCCCTTTTAACCCGGGGGACAGTGGTTTCTATAACGAAGGGTTGGGGGAATGAAGGCAGCTTAAAGGTACATTCAGGTCTTTGGTTTCAGGACAGGTTTCCATGACCCAAGGCCTGGCTCTGCAGGCCTGGGATGCTTCTTCCTTCGCGATGCGCTAAGTATGGTACCTCGGCCCCACACAGGCCTCCCTTGCCTTTACCTGAGGTCCTGTCCTCCAGCTTGATGTAGGCCACCTGCCCTTTTGCAGTGATCCGCAGCCGGCCACTCCATGATGGCTGGTCCAGCTGCCACTCCGCAGCCCTAAAGGGACAAAAACCACTGAGCATCTGCCAGAGGCTCCTGCTCCATTACGGCAGCAGGGATGGAAATGGGGGGGCCACATGGGCTGTTTGCTCTAGAGCAGGGGTTGGCAAGGGCCACATGATCTCTGTCACAAGTGCTTACTCTGCTATGGTAGAGTGGAAGCAGTTACACAGTACATGAGCACGGTGGTGCTTAAAGGATTGTAACCAAAAATTTTCTCCTGAGCATGACTGTATTTCAGTGAAACATGAGAGACACTGAAACCTGAATTTAGTATTATGTTCACATTATGTAATATTCTACAAATGTCCCCAACCATTTAAAAATGTAGAAACCATTCTTAGCTGGTGAGCCATACAAAAACAGTAGGTCAGGGGGCTCTCTCTTGTCCCCTCCTGGCTTGAGCCAGGAGCTCTGTCTTTCCGCTTTCTCTCTAAATAAAAGCCTCTGTTTGCTCTCCCACCGTGGAGAAAGAAAAAAAAAAAAACAGTGGGTCATGGTTTGCTAACCAGAATTCTAGATTATAGAAACCTCTGAAGTAGGACTTCCAGTTTTCTTTCTATAAAAGCAACAGCTACTGGCGCCTGTTGTTTGTGAAAGACATTGCTAGGCTGTGGTGGTCAGTGTGTCCACAGGGGACCACTGAGACTACCTTGGAAGAGAAGTAGAGAGGGGAGCAATCAGCAGTACGAAGGGAAAAGGAAAGCAAGAGTACATGTGAGAAAAGTGAATGGGTGTTCAAAAAATTTACTCTCAAAGGTATCCTGGACAGAAAGAAACCCAGAAAACCATTTACCTATCACAATGGCCTCTTTTGGCTCTTTTAAAGCTGTAACTTCACATTTTAGTTCCAAGCAGAAGCTCAGTAAAATCCCCAAGAACCTTGGGTGTTTCCAAAAGGTTTTTCTTGGAAGTCCCTAAGTCTCTGCCATGACTGTGACTGACACCGTAACTGTGGACGAGGGCTGTTTTGAAGGACACAGATGCAGACTCTCAATTCACAAGTCAGCGGACTCAGTTTCGGTTCCTCTTACTGGGGCAACAGGCCTTAGGTCCAAGCTATGCAGAGCTCTGAGGTTGAAATGCGGAGGCTGGTAGTTTCTTCTATGCCAATCAGCCCCGACGTTTGGTAACCTTGCTCCCTAAGTCACCAAGAAGGACCAAACCCAACATACTAAAGGGGAGAGGGGTAGATGACCATCCCTGGTTTGGTGGCCCATCTCCAGTTTGATGATAAAAAGCAAACGTGTTTTTGTTATTGTTACGACTGTTGCTTTCATACTATTTTAAAATTATGTCACGGATGTGGGTGTTCAGTAAAATTCTGTTAGTTACGTGCCCACACGACACAATTGGAAAGTAACAAGAGTCCATCATTCTTGTGGTCGCTGGCCAATCCTGTATTTCCCAAACAACTTGGACAAGCACTGCCTTCAAAAGCCACCTCACCCTCTCACCCACCGGGGCGAAATAGCCACCGGCAGGTTGTATCAGTTTCATCTTTTTTCTTTTAATATTTTTCTTTTGATAGGTAATACATACACATGGTAAGAAAAAGCAAACAGTCCGAAAAGGTACACAGCGAAGGACGTCTTCTGAACCCTGTCCCCCCTCACCCTCCGTAGGGCAGTTTCCTCCATTCCCTTTAGATACCCTTTATTTACAAGCAAATGTGTGTCGTTCCAAGGGACGTTTCACCAGAGAAGTGCGACGGATTCCTCCTAACTGCCACAGCCTGTGATAAGATCTGCAGTTCGTGCGGACGGAGCTGGGCAGGGAGAGGTCCCTGGGTTTTGGCCATCCGCTTAAAGCTCCCCGGGAGGGTGCGTTAGGTCGGTTCTGGGCTCCCTTCCTTTTCCTTTGGGGATTTCCGCCTGGGATAGGGCCCCCCACCCCCCGTAAGGCTTTTCAAGGAACCCTTCAAGGCCACCAGAGCTGAGAGAAAAAGGGTGGTGACATCACCACTCCCGACAACGTTCCAAGTACCGGGCAGCCCACCGGGGATCGCAAGCGCGACACAACGTTTTAACGCCTTCCCCGCCTCTGGGAGCCCCGTGTGTCCGAATGAAGACAGCTGAAAGGCTGGATCTCACTCCCTGCTCTGGCCTCGAACTGGAGAAGCCGCAGCATTACCTCCCCCTCGCCTTTAACTGGCGGGGCCGTCCTCGGCTCCCACAGTGGGCGTGTCGGGCGGCGGGGAAGGGGTTAAGTCGGGGTTAGGCGGGCCCGGCGGCTGGCAGTCACCTGTAGCCACGGTTGGTGGCCCGTGGCGGGATGCGGTAGACGTGCACCTCCGGCTTGACACAGAGCACTGATTCGTATTCACCCTCCTCCATCTCGACGCCCCGAGCCTGCCGGACTTCCGGCTCCTTCCCAGTCGCAGGGCCGGAAGCCTCGCGACTCTATGGTCCGCGTTAGGCTAGAACGGCACCTCGCGGGCCTCAGCACCAAACTGCCTCCGCGCCCTCTGCTGGAAGCTTTGGCTCAGGACATGCGGCCGACTGACCCAGCAGCTAACTTGCTGAGGACTTGGGCCCCCTCAGGGGGGTTCGCCCTCCTACAAGACCGCAATGGCCGCAGAGAAAACCTCAGTACAGACCCTACCGTAATCCGCTGCCTGGGGCCCGGTTGATGGCGATTCAAAACTGTAGCTACCTACGATAGGGAAAAACAAGGACAACAGTCTAGTCCAGGCGGCTCCCTTCCACTGCTCTTCTTAGCAAAGACAACAGAAACCCCCTTAACTTCCCCCTCCCGTTCACTCCCCGCTCTGCCAGGCACTTACTCCCTAAACTCACTCCCCCTTGCCTGCTCGTTTGCTGTGCAGGTAGGAATGTTACAGATACAGAAGCAGAAAGATACATATTGCTCCCTTTGCCTTTGTTCGGGGCTCAGACGTTGGGAGATGACCCCCCTCTGAGCCCGCGGGTGTGAAATAAACCTCAACATTCCCAGACCTCCGATTGGTTCTTCCGTCAGTGATCCAGTCCCGGTTTCTCCAGTATTTTCCGTGTAACACCTACACAGCTCATTCCGAAAGCCTGTCTCTGTGTCCAGCCTTTGCTTCTCTCTGCTCATCCTGAAAGCCCTTCCTTCTCCAAGAAGCGACTTCTCTTAGAGAAATCTTTACCCGACCAGCGCCTAAGTGGAATGTCTCTACCCTACTGAGACAGAGACCATGGATGTAGTCAGAGCAGGGTGAGGGCCTCCGGAGGGGGCAGGGTGGGTATCTGCAGTCAGAGCAATGTAACTACATGCAAGGAAACCCCCCAGCTAAAACTCGATGTTAAACATTGAGCTCTAGAATCATTCTTCAGTGAAATCAGTTAATGTTCCCCAGATAAAGAAGAGTAAGTATCACATGTTTTATTATGCTAATCATTTGTAACCACGTGTAAGATTCACTTTAGCATGCTAAAAGGCCCAGGCCTATGTGCTGTCTTTCCTCCGTCAGATCTGACAAAGTGATTTTGCAAATTGAGCAACCAACTCAGCATGCAGACCCAGCTGTAAACGACATGGTAAAAGGCGGTAAGAATTCCATCTTAAAGATAAATTGCATTTTAACACCCAGGAAGTTCAAGAGGCAAGATTCTTTAACAAGTAGACAATACCTCAGCCCACCTTGGGGGCTGGGCAGGCAGCCTTTTGATATGCTCCC